AGAAAGAAAGAAAGAAAGAAAGAAAGAAAGAAAGAAAGAAAGAAAGAGGGAGGGAGGGAGAGAGGGAGAAGAGAGAAAGTAAGGGAGGGAGAAAGGGGAGAAAGAGAGAAAGAAAGAGGGAGGGAGGAAGGGAGAAAGAGAGAGAAAAGAGAGGGAAGGAGAGAGGTGGAGACATGGAGAGAGAGGGAAAGAGGGAGAGAGAGAAAAATTGGGACAGAGAAGGAGGGACAGAGAGGAAGAGAGAGAAAAATTGTATGCTGTTATGTTCTTGGACACTTTCACTTTCCGCCACAGAAGGCGGGGAAGGATCTCTATTAGGAATATTGCCATGCCATTGTCACTGACAGAAGGAGCCTCAAGCCAGCACCAGCCCAGAACATTATGGGATAACCTTGAGGCACAGATGTATTTAGCACAGATGTATTTAGCAATGGTAATTGCACAAGCAAGGGTCAGAGGAGGCCGCCACGATAGTCAATTAATTTGGGCAGGCCAGCAGGGAAAGTACAAATTATGGACTTAAGAGGGCTGTCAAAATTAAAGCGAATCTGTTTTTAAATGGCTGGGGAAAGAGGGCCAGGGGCCAGAAAGAAAGGCTGTGTGACCGAGGGGCAGTATAGCCACGGGCGAGGGATATTACATTGTAGTTGGGCGTCTTAATCTATGAAGAGGCAACTGCAGGGTCTCGACTCTAATGTTAATCTACCGTGCAGAATGCGTAAAAGTTACTGAGAAGACATTGTAGGATCTCTTAGTAATATTGTGTAGGTCAGGGGTGGCCAAGGTTGGCCAATGCTGGCTGGAGAATTCTGGGAGTTGAAGTCCAGAAGTCTTAATGTCGCCATGGTTGAGCACCGCTGCATAGCTACTAAAACCAATACTATAAGATTGTGCCCTTTATAAATTCCACTTAATTGATGTTTTTCCCCTCCCGCCAAGCCCTGAGAACGGGCATGCATGGAAATATTCATTTTACATAATTTCTTGCACAATGACTTCCAATATAAATAGCGTCCAAGAAATCTGACAGATAAAACACATTAATAACAGAGCTAAACCACTATGGGGAGGAAAAAATAAATAAAACGGCTGATCAAACAGCAGGGGGAAAGTGCAGAAAATTCAACTTACAAACTTTAAATCAGGAAGCCAATAAAAGTAGTTCACGACTTACGACCACAATTTTAGCCTTTCAAGAAAACTTAATTGTACGTGATTGGACTTCAATTCTGTATCACCTTTCTCATTTTTTCAAGAAATGAAAAGGAATGCGATCCACAACGCAGTTGGAGAGAAATCTCTTTGGTTCTCCAAAAACTTTGTTCCAACATAGGTAACACTAATCTAATCTCGCCAGACCAGAGTCTTAATATCCTCATTACTTGTTCAGTTAATTGAGTTTAAAAATCCACTTAAACTGATTATTGTATCAGCCAAAGTGGGATTTCGAGTTGTTAAAAGAGCGATTTTGTTAAGATGTTTGCACCAGCCGAAGAAAGCAAATTTCAACTTGTTGACGAGTGCCGTACTCCTTCGTTCTCATCCTATAGGTCTTCCCATAGTTCTCGTCCTAAATTGCTTCTCTGTCTGTCTTTGATCTCACAGTGAAAGTTACACAACTTGATAAGTTGATGTGCTTAAAGAGAATGGACGATATCAAGACTGAACTCCACCATAATATCCATAGTGCTTGGAGAGAGAATAAGATGTGAAGTACTGAATATATGGAAAAATTGGGCATCTCCATTTTGCTGTAGTGGGCTGACAGCTGTAAGGCAAAATAAATAAATAAGCACAACCCTTTTCATTCTTCAGGGGGTGGAAGCTCCAGCAAGTATCATTAGCAATTTGGGGGTTCTTCGAAGGTTGTCTTTGCAAAATGATCTCGTGTCTTGTCTCCTATCTGTTGCATCTTAGCAGGTCCATCTGGGTCACCTATAAAGCAATAAGGTCAGTCTTAAAACCGGGTCTCCGAAATTGGCAGCATTGGAAACTCAGGACTCCTTAATCTTGTGGGTTGAAAAAAATGACAACCCACAAAAACAGTGTATCAGAAAGGATTTATGGCTCCGTTCCACTCTCCACCAGAGAGTGTAAATTAGTTAGAAGAACAAAACAGAAGCCAAGATAGAAATGGCTTAGACTGGCTATTGGCATGATTGGGGTTGATTAGCTTGAGTGATATCATTAACAAAGGGTTAATTAATCTCTTGGAAGCAATTATAGAAGAAAGGAGGCTACAGTCATTAGTAACCAAAGAGAACCGTGGAAAATGTGCTTTTATAACAAAGCATCTTACTAGGGTACACCTCGGCAGTTGAGGAGCTGAAAAGCTAATCTTTGCTTAGAGGTATGTTTATTTATTTCATGTATAAAATTTATTGGCCATCCATCTTACCATAGGGTAACCCTGGACAGCTTATACTCATTAAAAATATGTCCGTGTTTTCCAGAAAATAAGAACTAACCAAAAAATAAGCCCTAATACATCTTTTTGGACCAAAAATTAATATAAGACCCAGTCTTATTTTCCGGGAAGTACAGTATACATATTAAAACATAAATAATTAAAAACAAACATTACAACTGAAGAACACATGGGGAGGGTTGGGGCGGAGTAGGGAGATGGGATATGTTGTTACTCGATCAACCACATCCATTGTGTTGTTCCTTCACTGGGCCCCCAAACCAACTGGCAGAGCCAGCTCTTTAGGCCCTTATGAAAAGAGAGAAGAGTTGGGGCCAACCTCACATCAGGGGCAATGTATCAGAAACAACATGCTCCTTACACTGATCTCAATGCTTCCATTGAAAAAAGATGTTGAAACTCTAGAAAGAGTTCAGAGAAGAGCAACGAAGGTGATTACAGGCTAAAAAGTTTAAAGAACGGTTGCAGGGATTGGGTATGTCTAGTTTAATGAAAAGAAGGGGTGATATGATATCAGTGTTCCAATATCTATGGAGGTGCCACAAAGAAGAGAGGGAGTCAAGTTATTCTCCGAAGCGCCTGAAGGCAGGACAATGGATGGAAATTAATCAAGGAGAGATCCAACCTAGAACTAAGGAGGAATTTCCTGAGAGTAAGAACAATTAATCAGAGGAATGACTTACCTCCAGAAATTGTGGGTGCTCCAACATTGGCAGTTTTTAAGAAGAGATTGGACACAACCTGTACAAGATGTTTTATCAGTTGGCATCTCCCGCCAGCAAGACTGGCTAAAATATATAAAAATCAGTCACCAAATTGCTGGAAGAATTATGTATGCAAGAATGGGGTACATGGTGGTCCTGTAAAAAAATCACAGAAGTTTTGGCATGATTTTGACGTGGCTAGAGGAGATGATGGGACTTAAAATAGTCTATAAACCAGAATTCTTCTTACTGGGAATTATGACAGAAACATAGCAAAGAAGAGACCTATTTTAATAATCCATGTGATTATGGCAGCAAGACTGATGTTTGCCGGAAATGGAAGGATAGCGAAGTTCCTAATAAGGATGAGGTGATAAACAAGATTTTGACATGTGCTGAAATGGACAGACTGACTCTAGAAATGAAAGGCAAGGCTGAGTCAGAATATTACAAGATTTGGAACAAATTTTATCATTGGTGGGAACAGAAAGGAAGGGCTCAAAATAAAAAAAGAGGAATAGGATCTGTAGAAGGGATATCCAAGATTATGTGATTAAGCTCTAATTGAGATGGTGGATGATGTAATGAAGGAAAATTAAATTTATAAAGGTACAATATGTATAAATGTATATAAGATATATATTATAAGATGTAAGACAAAAACAATTTCAACTTGTCCAGTGTTTTTAAACAATTTGTTCAATAAAATGTTAAAAAGAAAGAAGAAGAGATTGGATACCATTTGTCCAATCTGAATGGCCTAGACAATGTCCCTTCCAACTGTTATTCTGTTATGTTCCAAGATGCTTCCTTTTATCCTAAGCATAAGGGTTTCTATATGGTGGAACACTTGGAGCAATCCCCAGGTATTCTTTTTTTTAAAATGGGGTTATGACAAAGCTTGATAAGGGCCAACTATAGCTGAGTTCTCCAACATAATGCCGGTGGGATGTATTGTAAGGTCAACAAAGCATTGACTGCTGCATTTTGCAGAATTGGCTGTATGGTCAGCCAGACTGCCCATATGGCAGAAGCAGGCCTATTTTGATAACTCACCTTTTTTCTCTTCCTCTTTGTAGATCGGTCACTGGCATGTTACAAAAGGCCTTTCGATGGATAACCAGATCTTCTCAACCAACATGTCAGAGAGCCTCTTCAACACCACGCTTCTTGTCACTACCATCCTGGTAAGCATGGAGGGTCAGAAGGACCCCTTTTCTTCTCAGGCAGTTGAAATGTGGCCTCTCATTGTCCTCTATACCAGCTTTTCCCCAACTTGGTGGCCTCGTAGACCTGTTAGGCTTGCAAGAACCAGACTGCTAACCGGGAACACTGAAAGTTGTAATCCTAGCACCTCTGGAGCACACCAGTTTGGGGGAAAGTGTTCAGCATGCTATCATTTAATGCATAGGACTTTTTATGAAACTCTTGAAGGAACATACAATCCAATTGCTAATGTGCAGAAGTTATTTCGTTTTTCATTGCTTTGTTGTGCAGAAATCTATTTTTGATACATCCAGTACGAGCAAGAATGAAACTTGAAATGGGATCCATCTACATCCCACTTTTCCATCCTTCTCCAATATGATTTGAATTAGATCAAGTTTAGTGATAAAGATGGAGAAGTCACCTTTCATTTGTCTATGACATCTTGTTGTAGTAAGGATTATGCAATCTGAGTGACCTTGGATAACCTAAGGAGATGTTTTCATGACATCAAAAACAACTTTGCTCATTTCCCATTGTGGCCAAGTGTTTTTTTGGTCTCTTCAGTTGTCCAATATTTCTAAGTTCTCCAAAATATGGATTTCCATCCATGGAGAATTAAGCCCAGCAGTAGTTTGCATTCTGACTGACATCTTTCCCAGATTAGCAAGCTTGGTTCTTCCATTCATTCATTTATTTGGGAAATTTATATGGCTACCTAGAGCAACTCTGGGCAACTTACAAGCAATTCCATCAGCTAAGTTATTGCCTGTCGGAATTATACCCAGGGGAAATGATTGGCTTTCCTGTGAAGTTTCTTCAACTAGGAGCAAGTGCCAAGGTGCCCCACAGTAGCAATGATGCTACTATTCAAGGAATAGTAAGGAATTGCTCTATTGCCACTCCAGACCACCATCATGCTGGCTAAACTATCAGGGCCATTTGGAGATACCCTTTCTCATCTTTAGTGCTGGGTGCTAGTAGAGCATTTGTCAAACATCCTTCAATACCACCTGCTTGCTGTAGCTGTGCATCTTATCCCTAGTTCGTATTGCACCCTACCATATTGTCCCCCATATGCTAGGTGACATTTATGGCCCACAAACTCCCACTTTTCTGACAAGACTGTCGCTTGCATAGAATGAGATCATTGTCTGTCTGCCAAACCTGGGAACATCTGTTCATTTGGATCTAGCTAGCTCTTACTGCATCCTCCAGATAACTTGAAAGCCTGGTGTAACTCTATCCCCGAGATTTGTTCCCCTTCCCAGAAATTCCCAATGAGTCCCTCATATCACCCGCCCCTGCTTTCCGATTTGTGCTGAATCCAGTGCTGTTGCAACTCCGTGGCTAAGATGAGAATGACAGCTGCCCAGTTTCGATGCAGGAAAACCCTTACTTCATGCTCAAGGGCAACCATCAAGAGCTGGAAGGGAACGACCGCTACGAGGGCTTCTGTGTGGACATGCTCAAGGAGCTCGCGGATATTTTGCGCTTCAACTACAAGATCCACCTGGTGGGAGATGGAGTGTATGGAGTTCCTGAGGCGAACGGAACGTGGACTGGCATGGTTGGAGAACTGATCGCTCGGGTGAGTAAGCCAGCCATTGCTAAAGACTTTAAGGCTATCTTAGATGTCTACCAGAATTGCATGTTGCCTTCTTTCATGAAGTAGTTTCTTTCGGTTTATTTAAAAGCCATCCCTTGGGATGTAATGTTCACCAAATAGTTACGGTAGGGACATTTCTAAATCTGTCTCCTCCTGTATCCATCTTTCTCCACCTTGTACTCTCTAGATACACTAGAGCAGTGCTTCAGCAGCTCAGTGATGTGTGATCTTCAAACTTCCAGAATTCCCCAACTTCCCAGACGTCTCCCAATAATTCTAGGACTTGAAGTCCACATATCTCCAAGCTTCTAAGATTGAGAAACGTTGTGTTAAACCAGAGGTGTCAGACTCAATTTCATTGAGGGGCATATCAGGGCTGTGGTTGACCTCGGTGGGGGGGGGAGGCACGGCAGCCAGGCGTGGCCGACTGGGTGGGCGCGGCCAGCTTGACACCACTCTCCAAACTGTTGGCATGTTTCCAGCTGGCACGTTGGCCTGATGTTTCCTTTTCACATTGGGTAGACTGGGCTGAAACGATGACGGCTGGCTCCTTACATTTTCCAGGATGGCCCTGTGGCCCAGATCTGACCACATCACAGGCCAGATCCAGCCCATGGGCCTTGAGTGTGACAGCCTATGTTAAACTATGACTCCCTTAATTGCTATCTGCCTGGTAATTATAGACTGACCTGTCTTGAGAATACTGGGGTTGGGGGAGATGTTTTTAGATGGTCAGGTGTTCCATATGTATGGAGTTATTTTTGATATGGGAAGCATTAAAATTCGACACCTCCCCTCTACACAGGAAGAATTGGTTGGTAAGCATGGCATTTCTCATTTACTTTATGATCTGTTCGGATGGTTGGATTCTTTTTGTTGGTTCCGATTGTGACTTGGGACTTGATCAATATCTCTGGAGGCTCTCAATCATCAGACCATGCTTGTCCCAAAGAGGTGACAGCTGCCACCTCACACTTGCTTGTGCTTCGTTTAAGAGATTTTAAGTGGTGCCAGGTCTGACAAGGTGCTTTTTTTCCCCAAAAGGCAACTGGACTTTCTTGATTTGTTTGTTTTTATTCAAAACGTTTCGTTTCTCATCCAAGATGCTTCTCGAGTTCTCTTCTTCAGTTTGGACTGGATACGTAATCGCTAGAAAGGCATGTCGTTGAGTAGGCTGGTGAGATCTGTGAGTGGTTTTTTTCCACGTTGAGGGAGGAATTAAATGCAAGGGAAGGTAGACTTCAACTCCTCAAGCACCTGAGTTGAAATTGGGCTTCCATCTTTTATTGATTGATTGATTGATTGATTTGATTTGATTTGATTTGATTTGTCAATCGCTTACAAGATAATAGGTATAAGTATAAACATGAGTAAGAATACAGGAAATAGGTACGAATAAATGGGGACAACAGGACAGGGACAGTAGGCACGATGGGGCACTTATGCACGCCCCTTAATCTTCCTCCAGGGTTCCCATGTCAGTCCAGGAGATCACTTCAATCCTCTGAAAGCCAAATTAGTGAATTATGTAGGATCTTAATTGGCCATTTTCAAATGTGATTATCTAACTAGGGTTGGGGGGAAACGTTGAGGATGGAACTCTTCAGCTTCTGAAAAGTCTGCGGAGGTTATTTAATGCCACCTTGTTCAAAGAGACACGGAGTGCTATATGTGTTAAGAGAGAGCAATTATGCAGGTTTTTATAAGAAAGATGCGAACTCAGAAATACAAAGACACTGTAACCATCACAAGTGAGACAGGAGAGACATTTGGTGCATTTTGCACTCTGGCTCTCAAAGGTGAGAGAACAATACTTCGTTGAGTGGAGTTGATTGCACAGATCCTTTCTTACCCCTGAGCAAGGAGCTCCCGAAAAAGCTAAATGAGAAATTTAAAGGGATAGCATTTGTTCAAACTAATAATAGTTACCGCGCGCCTGGCTTCATTCTCCTGTGAATCCTTCCTTTAGCTCTTTAGTAAATGTCAGGAGATCTTGCTAGCTTGGCTTGAGTTCCAGACCTCCAGTTTCCTCCCCTTCCTGAATCCCATTGGCCACACCTTCAGTGCAAATGTTGCACAATGTCACCTTGTGATCCCAATGTTGTGAACTTCTTTGAAACTTGATAAAGGGGCTGTCACGAGGTGCAGAGAAAGGCACAGGAAGATCCTGAATTAGGAATGAGTTCCTTTCCTAACTGTGCCTTTAACTCAAATTTGTATGTCAGTCAGAACCAGAGATGGTATTCAGCAGGTTCTGACCGGTTCTGGAGAACCGGTAGTGGAAATTTTGAGTAGTTTGGAGAACCGGCAAGTACCACCTCTGACTGGCCCCGCCAACCCCATCTCTTCTCTGCCTCCCATTGAGTCCCAACGGATCGGCTGGGTCTCCTTTGGTTGCTCTGCACAGGAGAAAGGAGCTGGAAAGCAGGTTAGTGGGGTGGGGAGAGAATGGGATTTTGTAGTAACCTTCCCCCCAGAGTGGGTGGGAATTGAGATTTTACAGTATCCTTTCCCTGCCATGCCCACCAAGCCACACCACGCCCACCAAGCCACAGAACCGGTAGTAGGAAAATTGAAATCCCACCACTGGTCGGAATTCATACTTACAAACAGACTGCATGTGCTAAAAATGGCAGGTGGTGTCATCCTTCCTTGAGCCCCGCCATACTTTCAGGAAATGCTGAAACCTGCTGAAAACAGACTGTGTCCTCAAAATGTGTGGCTTCAGAGGTTCATCCAAGCATTGCTTGGCTTTGGCAGTTTGTTGGCTCTAGGAAGGACAGGGGTGTGATTCTACCAGTTCACACCTATTCGCTAGAACCGATTGTTAACATTCTAAGCAGTTTGGAGAACCGGTTGTTAGAAGAAATTATTGGCCTAATCCTGTAAGGAAGGCAGGAAGGAAACATTCTGGTGTTGTTTACAGAAACTGCCTCTCCGTTAACCCTTATTACATTCTTGGCAGGACTAGACTTCCTGTCTCAGGAACTTCTCTGGAGTTATTTTCCCTCCTTTGCTGGGACTTTGCTTGTGTGGAGTGACCATTCAAAGTTACAATGGCACCGAAAAAAGTGACTTATGACCCTTTTTCACACTTACGACTGTTGCAGCATCCCCACAATCATGAGAGGCCAGGCGAGGAGATGCGTGCCTCAATGTGAGTGATATTGAGTTGGCCACGCCCAGCCAATAACATGACCACCAAGCCACGTCCACCCAGTCACATGAACACCAAGCCACACCTACCACCTAAGCCACACCCACAGAACCAGTTGTTAAAAAAATTGAACCCCATCCCTGAGGAAGGACAACCCCATCCGCCATTTTTAGTAATAGGCAGCCCATTTGAAAATGTGAGTTGTCCATAATTCAGATGTTCTTAACCCCGAGACTGCCTAGAGCAGTGATGGCGAACCTTTGGGGCCCTGAGTGCCCAAAGCATGTGCTTGTGCGCACATACCCAAAATGCAAGGCCCACTGCCCCATGCATGTGCATGCCCCCTGCACATGCACACACCTCCACGTGCATGCACAGCCCCACGCATGCACAGCAGAGACCCAAAGGCCAGCTGGCCGGCGGGAGGCAGGCGTACATGCAAGGTGGAACTGAGCTGGAGCAATGATGTGCATCCCCACAGAGAGGACTCTGCATGCCACCTGTGGCATGCGTGCCATAGGTTCACCACCACAGGCCTATAGTATACTTTGTCAGATTGGGGACGCTCATTGTCTTTATACATCTGGTTGAGTACAATAAGCAGCTCAAGGCTAGATCAGATGGACCTTGGACCATCCAGGGGTTTCTTAGCCTCTGGATTGTGTTGGATGAGGTCCTGTCCACATCCTGAATGACCTTTCTCAGATTCCCTTCTAGGATTCCGGGGGGATTTTCGTCCCTACTTCTGGAGATACTCAGGGAAGGTGCAATGATGCCATAGCCTTGAGATGATAAGGGCTAGGAAAGGAGAGGTGAGTTTTTAGAGATGCCCACTTTTACAGGTCTCCTGGAGATTTCATCTCAGACATGAGAATTAATTGACTCCTTGGTATGTAGGTTATGTAACACAGAAGGCATTTGTGTTGATTGGGAGGGGCTATTTTAACCAACAAACCAACCCAAGGTTTTTGCTGGCGAACCCTAACAGGTTAGAGAGTACGCATAATGTCTTCTCTGCTTTCTTCCAATGTTAAGTTATGCACACCGTGCTAATTAGGCCGCTGAGCGTGGTTCCCTCTGTGCTCTTGGAAAACATCAACCATGAACTCAGCTTTTTTAAAAAATGTCTCACATAAAAGGCTATAAACATCCAGCTGGTTCTTTAGTGTTTTGTTACTGCTATTTGTTGTTGGATTGTTTGCTGGTGCCTTGGGCTGCCAGCTTAAATGTTTATAAATACGGACAGATTTTACACCCTTCTTCAAGGCTGTAAAGAGGAAGAACTACAAAGGGGTGTGTGATGAAGGGAGGGGAAAGGACAAGAACACAGAACAACAGAGTCGGAAGGGACCTAGGAGGTCATCTACTCCAACCCCCTGCTGGAGCAGCAGAGTCTATCCCAAATATTAGCCTCTACCTGGGATCAAACTCACAGCCTCTTGATGGTGAGGCAAGAAGGAAAGGGGAGGGGAGAAAGGGGAGGGGTGGGAAGATAGGGGGAAGGAGTGGAGGGGAGAAAAGGAAGGGAAGGGAAGATAGGGGAAGGGAAGGGGAGGGAAGAAAAGGAAGGGAAAGGAAAGGAAAGGAAAGGAAAGGAAAGGAAAGGAAAGGAAAGGAAAGG